TCTGCCCTTGCCTGTGTTATCTGAGTGGAGATCATCAACTGACATAACACTGTAGCCTTAGAGCAAGCTCTGAGGGTTCATTTGGAGGGAAGGGGACGTTTTATTTAATGTATGGCTCAAGCCTTATAGCTCAGATGCCACTGAGCTGCCTGGAGCAGAGCCAGGTGCACTGGCCGTGATGTTCCCTTCCTCAGCGTTAACTGAAAAAAACCAAACCAAACCAAAAAAAAAAAAAAAAAAAAAACCAACGAAAAAACCAACAAAACAAAAACCCAACAAAACTCCCCAATGTTGTTGTACTTCTGTGGTGGGGGAGTTACTGCAGTGCAGTTCTGTGTCTGTTCATAGGACTTCCCGTGGTTTTTCATCGAATCATATGATTGACAATGCAGACAGTCTGCAAAGCTCTCGGTCTGTCTCATTTGTACCCTCGTCCCAACCACGAAATCTGACTTCTGCTTTGTCTGGCAGAAGAAAACAAGATAGGGTGATGTGGTGGGGTGATTCACTGGAGCTGATAAGTGGTGTCTGTATTTAAACTGTGCCGTTCAAACCGTAATGTTACCTCTGTCTCTCACGTTTTCAAGGACTTTCTCAGGCTGATTTATTTTAAACTATCTGGGGTTGTCTGTCCATCTGTGGGGTGCAAGAAATGCAAATACTGGCTCCAATGGACCTGTTTATGTCAAGGGAAGGACTTCAGTAATTTAAATAATGAACATTGTTGTATATTGGATCAAAACAGGGTTTGGTTTGGTAGAGACTTTAAAGCTCATCTCATTCCACACCAGCCATGAGCAGGGACACCTTCTGTCATCCCAGATTCCTCCAAGCCCCCCCATCCAACCTGGCCCTGGGCACTGCCAGGGATCCAGGGGCAGCCCCAGCTGCTCTGGTCACCCTGGGCCAGGGCCTGCCCACCCTCCCAGCCAGCAATTCCTAATTGCCAAGAGCCCAAAATCTGTGCCTGCCCTCTGGCCCTGGGAGCCATTGCCTGGCTGCTGTCCCTGCAGGCCTTGTCCCCAGTCCCTGGGCAGCTCTGCTGGAGCCCCTGGAGGCCCTGGCAGGGGCTCTGAGGTGTCCCTGGAGCCTTCTCTTGTGCAGCTGAGCAGCCCCAGCTGTGCCAGGCTGGCTCCAGAGCAGAGGGACTCCATCTTTCCACATCATCCATCCAAACACACAGGGCAGTGAAGGAAAAAAAGGGATGATTCATCCCATGCCAAGGCTTTTCCTCTATCATTAAGATTGCCATTTAAGATGCCTTAGCATGGTCTCTCTTTTTAAGTGGTGCTAAAAATCTGGTTCATTGGAGTGTCACCAGCTAGGGTGCCAATGTCTTTCCAGAAGTAAGGTGAACACAACAGCAGCAAGGCAGAAGAAAATAGATTTGTGCACTGCAGGTTTGATGTGCCACTTTGGCAATTTTGTTAACTGTGATAAAGTCCTCACCACTGCTGGCTGGGTTATTTCTGGGAGTGCCCTGAGACCCATGTGCCTGGTTGCTTCAGTGTCATCTCCTGTGTGTCTGCAGCACACAGCCAGGGCCCAAGGCTCCTGATCACTCATTTGAAGCAGGACATACAGGAGACAAATGGCACAAATATGAATTTAAACATTCCTTGGACTGTTACCTGAAAATCTTGAAAAGCTTTTTGAAAATCTTAAAGCTTTTTGGCACCAATCAAGCTTTTTACATGTTGTTTAAATCCTGCTGTTACAAATTGTTATAAAGTCATTCTCTTAAAGAAGAAACTTTTGATGATTTTGTTTGTTAACAAATTCTGTTTTCAGTGAACACCCTGTTAGTGAAACAGTGTGGGTAGTTTTTTGTCTCAACAGTGGATTGCTGCCATGGTTAATCTTGCAAGTTACTTCATAGAATCATTGAGGTTGGAAAAGCCCTCTAAGATCATTGAGTTCAAACATTAACTCAGCAGGACTGTGTTCACTACTAAACCATATTCCCAAGTGCTGCATCCACACCCCAAAGATGCTGGTGCAGTTCTCTCTATGCTGGACCTCTAGGATTTCTCATTTTAAATGAATAAGAAAACATGGCCAGCACACAGCTGTGGGTCGTTGCAGTCATCTAAAGAATGTGGGTTTGAATTGCTGGCCTGGAATTCTAATTTTTCATGTCTCATCAGCAATGCATTGAGCTGTCCTGAGCCTGCTGTTCAGGTGGACCCTCAAAAATCCATCACTCCTAATGTTATCTACATTCTTTTTATGTAGACTCAATCAAAACTGTGTATATGTAGTGGCAGTGTGTATTACTGCTCTCCTTAAAAATCTCATTCTCCTTGTCTGCATTTCCAAGACACCCCCACAGGCTGTTCAAAGCACATGTTGAGTGTCAGAGAGTCCAGGCTGACTGCAGTGAGTTACACTCAGCCTTTAATCTGAAATTGATTATTAAATTGCTGTGATACGATTGCAATAAATGGCAACATCGATCAGCCTGAAGAGAGGCTGAATAATAAAATCAATGCATGGCTTATTGCCTGAAAATATGAATGCTACCTGAGCCATTTTATGCTGCCCTTCCAGCTGAGAGATAATGGGATAGTAAGACCTGAGCATCTCAGATGCAGCTGTTGGAATTTCTGATGTAATTTTGCGTACTGTTTTGAGGCTGAAGATGTTTTTTAAGCTGCACAGGAGCCCAAGAATGGTCCCAGGCTACTGCCACGAATGTTTGCAAAGCCAGTAGCTCCATCTGTGACCTGAAGGTGAAAAAGAAGGTTGTGTTTAATTCAATTCAAATTAGAATCTTGAATCACTTTCCCCTCCTTCCCTACCAGAAGGACTACCATGGGCTGCATCCCTGGTGTGAAGAGTGGCAGCTGTGTAAGACTTTCCTCTGGCTGGAAGTGCTGCCATGGTGTAATCGTGAGGTTGAACCATTCATTCTGCTGATGCAGGGCTGAACAGAATGTGCTCCTGTCTACACTGACCACAAGCCAGGAAGTTTTGGAAGGAAGTGGGGAAGATTACACTGAGGATAAGCAGAGTAGAATGTCAGGGCCTTTTTAAACAAAATAAATACTAATGAAAATATACATGACGGCTTGGTTGGGGGGGGGTGGTAGAGGGGGAAGACAGGGACAACTTCAGAACTCGGAGCTGAGTTGGGAAGGGATAGAGAATGTCAATGAAAAGGAGGATCTCACAAGGCTGGTGAGAAAAGAAAGGTTAGGTGAGCACAAAAGTATGAGCAGAAAAGTATGCTAAAGAGAGAGGATAAAGATGCAGCAGAAGGGAGTTGGCATGGCAGAAGGCTGAGAGATTGGAAGTGAGAGACGGGGGGTGAGTATGGGTCTAAGGTACCTAAGAGTGAAAAAACCAAAGTGATGCAGAAGATTAAGCAGACTGGTCAAAACAGACTCGGAGAAGAGAGGTTGTAGAGAGGTGGTGGAAAGTGGTTTAGACGCACAGAACGGCTGTGGGAGAGTTCTCTACCACAAACTGCATGTCTGGCACAGGAAATTAAACTTGCTGATGTACCTTTGAGATTTTGGGCTTTGAACTCAACAGGGGTTAGATGCAGAGGAGCCTTTAACAGCCCTACCTTTAGCTGCCTCACTTCCTTGAACGGAGATAATGCAGAATCCTTTAGGTTGGAAAAGCTTCCAAGATCTCAGAGTTCAGCTGCTCTCCCAGCACTGCCAAGGCCACCACCAACCCATGTCCCCAGGTGCCACGTCCACATATTTCTACAACTTTTCTACAAGTGTACATGTTTTCTGACTCCAAGAGTACAAATAACATGGGAGCATTGAAGTTAAATACCAACCCTGAAAACCAAGTGTCCAAGAAATGCCCCCTCAAAGGAGACTGATCCAGCCAGAATTCTTGTACCCTTAAGGCAAGGAAACAAGACACTGAGCTCAAGAAATAGGATAGGGAATCCCTTCATTATTAATGGGCAAAGAGGCTCCTTGGCCATTGCTGTGCTTGTTCTGATCATGTCACACTGAGGAGTTTATTCTTAGTGTTAGCCACAGCCTTATAAATAATAAAATGGGTCATGTTTTATCTTACCCCAGTGATCATTGTAATGCGGCTTTTGCCTGAGACTCTGCCAAGCTCAGACACAGGCAACATTTAGAAGTGGATAAAGTGAAGAGCACAATGCAAAAGTAGACTCAGCTCTTTCCAAAATACACACTTACCAAGAGTGAACCTGGTGGGTTTGCAGTGTGCACTGTTTTGGGAGGGAAAAAATTAGAAAAATGGGAACTTGAGATTGCAGCATATCTGTCTCTTCTCTCTGGTGACTGGGGACAGGACCCAGGGAATGGCTGGAGCTGTGTTGGGAGGTTTAGTTTGGATATCAGGGAAAGGCTCTCCCCCAGAGGGTGCTGGCACTGCCCAGGCTCCCCAGGGAATGGGCACGGCCCCGAGGCTGCCAGAGCTCCAGGAGCCTTTGGGCAGCACTGCCAGGGATGCTCAGGGTGGGATTGCTGGGGGTCTGTGCAGGGCAGGAGCTGGAGTGGGGGATCCTTGGGGGTCCCTTTCAACTGGGAATATTCTGTGATCCTGTGATACCATAAACTGTGTTTATGCTTTAAGCCTTTTCAGAGGATTCTCGTGCTAAGGAGCCAAGTACAATTAATGGCAAAATGTTTTTTAAGGGAAAATGCAATAAATATGTTTGTACATGCACAGGCAAGAAGGCTTTTGAGGGGCTGCTAAAAATGAGTTTTCCTTGAGACCTTTGGGTTTTGTAAAGGATTCATGTGTTTAGTGTGTTAACAGGCAAATGGATTGTGACCAACGGTAAAAGGCTCGAATACAATATGCTAATGTAGCATTTAATTCAAAGAAGAAATTATAAATGTTCTCTTTATCCTATAAATATTTTCCTTGGGTTCTAATGGTTTAGTTCCTTCCATTATTTTTTTCACTAAACCTCTTTCTTCAGTGTTTATGTGGGCTGTGTGTTTGTAAGCAGACATGCAAACCTTCCCTCACTGGACTCTGGCTTCTTGTTGCAGAAATTCCCTGAGCTGAAGTTTAAGTACGTGGAGGAGGAGCAGCCTGAGGAGTTCTTCATCCCCTACGTGTGGTCCCTGGTGTACAACTCTGCCGTGGCCCTGTACTGGAACCCCCGTGACATCCAGCTCTTCACCATGGACTCGGGCTGAGGGACACCCCGGCCAGGCCAGCCCCGCTCCATCCTACAGGAATCGAACCTCTGCACCCCTTCCAACCTGACCCCCTCCAACTGCCCCCCTGACCCCAGAGCCAGTGTCCAGCCCAGCCTCACGCTGGGACAGACTGGTGTGGGGCACTGATGGCTTGTAGGCAACCTTGTGTTTATAGTCCGTAACCTAGAGCTTGTTTGATGAAAATGAGGCCTTACACATGGGGTATGATGTTACTACCAACCACAAACCTGATCGTCCTTTTAACTTAACAGGCTAAATGAGATTGCAGGCTTTGATTTGGAAGCAGTATTTGTATTTTTGGCTCTTTGGAGCGGGCAGCTTCCTTGGGTCAAGCTTTTTATGGTCTCTTGGATGCTGCCGTGGGGTGCTCGTTACCTAATCCTTGTTTCCACTCACAGCCCTTCGTTTCTGTGGCACTGGCTGCAGCCCTTAAATTGCTGTCTACACTGTCATCCGAGGGAACTAAGCAAGCAGCATCTTAATCAGGTTAGCTCCCAGGCAGATTCAAAACACTTGATTTAGATGTTTGTGGGAGGATTTTCAATAGCAAGTCTTCTGTTGTTGTTGTTGTTTGACTGACAAATACTCTCCAGAGGGCAAGAAACACCTGCTTTCGGAGTCAAGTCCCTTACAGACTTGTTTTTCTGTGCTCCTGTACAAAATTGTTCCTGGAAATTGAACGTGTAAGGGGAAAAAAAAGTCCAAAGAAAATAATTACAAGATTGTAAAATAGACCAGTGTCCTGTAAATCCGTGCGTAATGGTGACAGTGTGTTTTGGGGATCCTTGAAAAAGCTCTGTGTTGAAAAACCTCCTCTTGGCTTTTAAAGTTTTATGGCAGAAGTATAAATTTATCTGAATGTAGAATACTACTCTCTTTTTTGGTTGTTTTCAAGTGCCCTTTCCTGATATACCTGTTTCAGCAGTGGGAAAAGCAAAAGAAAGTGGTGTGATTTTGAAAGAAATCTCATTTTTCAAAGTGGGGATCGTATTTTGGGGATGCCTGTTGCACACACGTGCACCCACTCTCCTCATCCCACGTGCTGCTGTGTGGGGGACTGTCAGCAGTGCATTGCATGCCAAAACTTTAATTTCAAGGAATTAGTTCTTGAAGATGCGTGGCAACCCTCTGTATTCACTGCCTGCTCCAGCATGTTCTGTTTGTTGACCTGAGGAATCGGGTGCGTTTGCTTTCAGAAAGTCCTTTGAATGGCTTTAAATAGAATTTCTTGCACCGTTTCATCCCTCTGAAGGATGTGCTAAGATTGTACTTTCCTTTTATCTGCTTATTTAGAGACAGAAGTCCATTTGAGTCCTACACAAATGGAAATGCTGGCTTATAAAAAAAAAAAAAAAGGAAGAAAAAAAAGCTTTCCAAATTTATTTAAATATAGCTGCAAAGGAATATATAGAGCCCATGAGCATTTAGGGCTTTGAAATGGCAGAAGCTTTTGAGAAAAGACAATGGTAAGACTGGAGATGCAGTGTTTTCTTAGGCAAATAGGAGAAATTAATGAACCATGACTGAGCTGCACATAAGTTGATCTGTATTTTGGATTTATTCTGTTTTGTTTTGGTCTTTGAGCAAACATCAAAAGGGGATAACTATTCTTGGTTACTGTAGTGATTTGTAATTTTGTCTTTATTAAAAGACTAAGAGTGTTTGTGAGTCAACAGGGCTGCCCAGATTTGGAAAGGTCAGTCTGAAGATGCACTTTTAAACCGTGGATTCTAAAGCTGCTGGGCTGGCTCAATGTTCATCTGTTTTAAACACTCTGGGGTGAGCAGCACCAGAGAGGCCCTGCCAGGGCAGACACTGCTCAGCCAGGTGTCAGACTGCAGAAAACCTGATTTGTCTGTGAAAGGGCTTTTTGCAAGAGAGGAGCAGATAAAGCAGCAGTCTGATAGAAAAGGTCCAGCAGCTGCTGAACCATCATCGGCATCGCACAGAAATTTCTCTCTCGCTGTCCTCCCGTTGTGGTGACACTGAGGTGCAGAGGCTTTGCTCTGATGGTGTAATCCCCTTGTGTGTTTCATGAAATACCCTGCTCCTGGGTCCCAGCTGGTTTGGAACAGCTGGAGTTACCACCTAAAGCCAAAACAGCAGAGCCAGACCAAGATTTAGGCAGAAATTCATGCTGGTGCCATTGGCTCTCCCAAGAGCTGGAGTGTGACGTGGGCCTGGCAGTGTCCTGACATCTGCAGTCTGGTATGGTCACAAATACTCTGTTTTTCCTTCACCTTAGGGATCCTTTTCATTACTTTGTGTGAAAGATTTATTATGCGTAATTACAAAAATAAAAAAATGATGAAACAATAAATACAGGGTGGTGTGTTCTATGTCACGGGTCTTGGCGTGGTCATCAGGCCCAACCTGATGGAGGTTTATGATGTCCTCCATGATGCACAATTAAGAAGAGTGTAAATTTATTTGTTGTATAAAGTAAATCAGTGTTCAAGTCAGTGTCTGGTAAAAGAAGGAACATGTCATCTGCAGTGTCCCGTGGAATGTCACCTCTTGCCAGCTCAGCTTTAATGGTCACAGTGGCCATGGCCTGGAGGGGCACTGGGAATGCACAGTCATGGGGGAAGCAGAGGAGGGACAGGGTTGTCCACACAAGACCAGACCTGATGTGTTCTGCTCCCTCAGATTCCCTTTCCTGTCCATTTCAGCTGATGGTGTCTCTGGTTTTGGGGTGTGGGGTGGATGTTGCACCAGGGCCTTCTCCTGACCACATTCATATTTGGGGTGCCCTAACTGTGGCCTTCCAGTACCTACCTGCATGTACTGACAGGAGAGCTGGAGAGGGACTTTGGGAAGAGGCCTGGAAGGACAGAAAAAGGGGGAATGGCTTCTTGCTGCCAGAGGGCAGGGATAGATGGAATATTGGGAAGGAATTGCTGGCTGGGAGGGTGGGCAGGCCCTGGCCCAGGGTGCCCAGAGCAGCTGTGGCTGCCCCTGGATCCCTGGCAGTGCCCAGGGCCAGGCTGGATGGGGCTTGGAGCAGCCTGGGACAGTGGAAGGGGTCCCTGCCCATGGCAGGGGGTGGAACAAGGTGGGTTTTAAGGTCCCTTCCAACCCAGACCATTCTGAGATTCTATTACAATACTCCTGCTCTGAGTGATGATCACTGCTGTCACCGCCTGCCTGAGCTCCCTGAGCAGCTCTGGAGAAGGAAATCCATCACTTCAGGGCTGGGCAGGAGAAGGCAGGTCTGCTCTCAGAGGACCATCCCTTCCAGAAGACCAAACAGGCAGAAAAGTCAGCTGCTGTGTAAGTTGTTGGTGAAGAGGGAGTTGTGGAGCCTCATGCACATGTCCCTGGTGAGGCAGAAACCCTCCTCCCTCAGGCAATGGAGTGAAACTCTGCTCTTGCTGTAAAAGAGAGATGGGGGTGAGGGGGGGGCGGCTGGAAGAGATAAATGCACTGGGCATCATTCACTTTGGCAAAAGCAGTCCAAAAACCTGCCAGATTTCTTGGTCTTTCTTGACCCTAATAGCCTAAAACCAAAGAGTATTGGCAAGTTACGGGGAAAAAAAAAACCCAAGCTGTTTTGTACGTGCCACTAGATTGTTGATCTACCAGTTAAACAGGAAAGGAAGAAGCAAACAACTCCCCTCCCTTCTTTGGAAACTCTAAAGATTTTGTACAACCTTTTCTACTGGTTTTATCATTGCATATGTTGTCTAATTCAGCCAAGTAAAGGTCAAATCTCATATTTAGTCAGCCCCAGGCTCTCTTGTAATTGATTGGGCTTGGTCTGAAAAAACTCCACCCTCTGTGCTGGAAGAGCAGGAGTTTTCTAATGCATTTCACTTCCTAGAATCACCTGACCACTGCAAATCCTTTCCTCTTTCTACCCATTCCTCCTTTGGCCACCTTACCTAAAAATGTGTACCGTTGGTACTGGCATTACTGTAAAACTCTGCATCCCAGCTGCTTTTGTGCTGGATTCATTGTTAATTTTGGGATTCGAGGGAGTTATTATTACCATATTTATTGTCTGTTATTGCTAACAGCTAGCAGTGTTGAAGATGAGAGCTGCACACCTGAGAGCAAAACACAACAGCCTCGTCCTGAGCCCCTGGGTTCTGAAGCCTCAGCTCTGGACAGGTCCTGGCAGCAGCCGTGGTGGCTGCGAGCTCTGGGTGTGCTGCAGGTGTCCCTGGAGACTGAATCCCAGATGCCACAAGGTTGGCGGTGGAGATTAGGCTGGATGGGGCTGGGAATATCTCTGGGCTTGGCCAGAAGGCTGAGTTTTTAACTCTTAGGAGTTGCTCATTGATGGTGCCTTTGCAACAGACCACTCATGACCCCCAGATGTGTGTGACAGGTTCGGGGAAAGGATCACAAGGCTGGGAGCTTCCCTGTTCTTTTCACTTTCAGGGAAGGAGCCTGTTGGCAGGACATCCCTGGGCTGCTGTGACATCACCAGGGAGTGCTCCAGGCCATCCTCCTGCATGAGACATCAGCATGCGTCACCAACACTGCCTGATAACAGCTCTGCCAGCTGAAGATAATGGTATTTCACAGACAAAAGGGCAGCTCTTGCAATCTCCACTGACCCCAGCAGCAGACCTGTACTTCCTGCTGTGACTTTGGGAACAGCCACTCATAAGGAGCAGGGCAGGGAGGTGCCTGGGCAGTGGAGATGATAGTTAAAAGCAATTACAGAGTGTTTGGGTTAGACGGGAATTTAAAGATCCCAGGACTGGAGCCCCTCTGCTCTGGAGCCAGCCTGGCACAGCTGGGGTTGTTGAGCTGCACAAGAGAAGGCTCCAGGGACACCTCAGAGCCCCTGCCAGGGCCTCCAGGGGCTCCAGCAGAGCTGCCCAGGGACTGGGGACAAGGCCTGCAGGGACAGCAGCCAGGCAATGGCTCCCACTGCCAGAGGGCAGGCACAGATTTTGGGCTCTTGGCAATTAGGAATTGCTGGCTGGGAGGGTGGGCAGGCCCTGGCCCAGGGTGCCCAGAGAAATTGATGGGGCCATGGAAATGGCTGCAGAGTTGCATGGGCCTGCTCAAAAGCAGCAGCCCATGAGCTACATCCCTCCTTTGCAAGCCCCTGGCATTGATTTTGGCATCCCTTCACTGGGAATACCGGGGATGTCCCTGGAGTAACAGCTCTGTGGAAATACTTTGCATTTTGGGGCAGTTAACCCCGAACTGTGAGGTTCCAGCTGAGATTACAGCTCATATTCATTCAGTCATCAGTGCTGGGTTATTGCTGGTGGATGCATTTCGGATGTTGGGGCTGTGCTGCCTGCCTGCAAGTGAATTATCTCCACGGAGTGTTTGGTGTTGGAGGCTCTGCTACCACCCATGGACTGACAGCCCTGACATGTACTCAGATGAATGAAAATGCCACTATCAGTGAATCCCTCCTGATCATGACTCCAATACACAGTGGAGCTGCCAAACTGGGGCAATCTGAATGAGAGATTTAAAGTGGAGAGATGATTTTTATTTTTTTTTAAATTCCGCTGAAGCGCACGGCATAATCCTTCATCATCACTTTAAAAACTGTCTTAAAATTAATCCAAAATGAATATGTCTTGGCAGACGTGATGAAATGTTCAGCTGTACATAATGTTTTTGCCAGATGTCTTGGCAAACTAAATGGCAGACTTCAGTCTTCCTTGCAGTCACTTTGTGCTGCTGAAAGCCCTGAATGTGATGGCACCCGGGGAAAATTGAGGATCCGGAGAGGAGCAGTGACAAAGTAGGTGACG